GGGGCCGCCAACGGAGCTCCGGCCCCGCCAGGTGTATCAGAAAACCGCCTTAGGCAAAGACTTCCACAGTGTTTTCTTAGAAAGGCACATTTTGCCTCCGGAGACCTCAAATGCGGGAGTGTGGGGAACTCTGAAACAGATGCCTATTGGTTGATGAGAAGCCAGGCAAAGCCGGTGGGCTGGTTTGCTTATTATTATATCAAAAGCAGGAAGACGGGTGATTCAATAAAGAATAAGGACCTAACACTTTGGAGGCGCTAGTTTGGGGCCTCACTGGTTTCAAAGTAATTCGATTTTTGTTGGGATTCAAGTTGTATTCGATGTAGTCAGTTCAGCCCATCTTGGGATGGCCTACAGGGTTGCTTGTTTTTGTTTTATTTTATTTTATCGGCGAGTTGAAAAGTACCTGAGTAGTGGACACAGAGGAGTCACTTTTCTGGGAGTGATATCTGGGTAAATATTAATCTTGGAAACTTTCTGTGTTTTCTCATGTTATGGAGTAATCTGCATGAAGTGAGAAAAATTTGGAGCCAAAGTTAAAGAGATCGTACACTAAATATTATTCCCTGCCAGGCACTGAACTCACTGGACTGATATTTCCTATGTGTTTATCCTCATAATCACTCTGTGAGGTATGTATGCTTCATGATAAAACACAGCCACATCTGTCCAGTAGATCCCGACTCGTGGCAATTCCGTGGGTATCAGAGTAGACCTGTGCTGAGTGAGTTTCCTTGACTGGCATCTTTATGGAAGCATATTGCCAGCCTCTCATCCCAGGTAATGCTGCGTGAGCTTGAACCACTAACCTTTTGATTAGTGTCGCTAGTTGCTTTTGAGTCTTTTCCAACTACAAACTATTCTTACCACTCAGTGATGTTTCTAGTGATAAAAGGCATGGAATCGAGCACCACACTATTTCAGTTAAAATCCTGTTTTCTATTTGCCTGATCGTAAAAGCAAAAAACCAAAAAGTGATACTTAAGCGTAGCTAACGCACCAAGATTGCTGTGAAGGACTAAATGAGATAATACGCATATTAGAACAGTACCTTGTACAGAGCAAATACTATAAAGTGTTTGTGTGTACATTTTCAAGGTAACTATTGTTCCCATTTTACAGAAACTGGAAGCCTAGAGAAATTTACTTTCCCAAAGTCACACAAGGAGTAGTAAGTGGTAGGCACAGGATTTCAGTCTGGCTGTAGGATTTCAGTCTGTACTGTTTCATCAGTACAAATAAATTTTGGT